CTTTATTTTTCTTTCTTTCTTTTTTTTTTTTTTTTTGCAGTGCTAGATTGAACCCAGGGCCTCACGCATGCTAGGTGAGTGCTCTATCCCAGCCCCAGCACTGGCTCTCATGACTGCTACTAATCTGTCCATATTCACTTCAATTTAGTCAAATGTGTCCCAAAGAGCAGAGGTCTCGATTCTGCATTCCCAGAATTCACCAACAGCCCCAGGCTCCTCCGATCTGGGTGTTCTCCTCCAGGGTCTGAGACACATTTGACAGAAGTTCCCCTATTGTATGAGCCCTGGGCTACAAGATTGATGGATACCATCTCTTAGCTTTACAAATCGGTCTTGGGGTGTGGCTCAGTGGTAGAGCTCTCGCCTAGCATGCATGCGGCCCTGGGTCTAATCCCCAGGACAGGAAAGCAGTAGAGGGCAAGGATTGAGAGCTGGCAAAAGTGAAGAAGCCCGGTCAGGTTTTTGAATAAAAAGGCTGCCTTTTCCTCTTGCCAACAAGTCCCAAGCTTAGCCCATATCTCAGAGAGCAGGGACCTCGCTCAATCCCCAGAGTCCCAGAGGCAGGCTGGCTTCTGGAGGCCCCTTTGTCCCCTGCCGGTCCCAAGACCCTCACGCAGCTGAGGTCAGGGCTGAAGTAGGTTCCAGATCCCCAGCACGGGGAGGTCCTTTCTGGTCCAGGTCAGCACCCTACTTGGAGAGCCTTAGGGTCACCTCTTATGGTGGGGTTCTTTTTTTTTTGTCTTTTATTTATTTTTTTTGGAACTGGGGGTCGAACCCAGGGCTTTGCGAATGCAAGGCAGACGCTTTGCCACTGAGCTACATCCCAGCCCTAGGGTCACCTCTTATGTCCCCAATGAATTCCGCACAGTTTTCTTGTGCCTGTTGCCTGCCCACCACAGCTCTGACCTCACACTGGCTACCTGAGGGTCCCCCGCTCACCATGTTTTGTGTTGTCCTTCCACTCGCCCACGTAGTGATCACCGTTCACAGCATACACTTGGTGTCTCAGTCCGTTCTTTTGGGCCTTCTGGTCCCACCCCTTCCACAGGGGCTCCGACTTTGGGGGGCATTTGAAGACTGGCATGTTGGTTGCTTCTGTGGGGCCAGAAGATGCTGGAAAAGGGTCAGGGATATGAGGGGTTCAGTGTGCCTTGTTTACAGGCTGGGATCCTAGGGTTTCCCAGGGAGGCCCCTGAGGGCAGGTGGGGTGACTCATGTGTATTCTGAGTCCCCAGGGTAGTTGAGCAGCCTATGGAAGGGGGTCCTTTTGTGCTGGGCTGACTCTTAGCTKTTCCCTCCCTTGCCTTCCCCTAGGGCCCCCTCCATGGGGATCTGATGGAACAATTGCTTGGGAACCCAGGGAGACCATTAGGAACCCAGGGTTTATGATGGCATCAGAGAGAAGCTGCCGCTTGGAGGAATGACAGTCACATATTTGATGACTAGAATGATCAATCAGAGTAGGTCCTGGTCCTGTGGCTGGAGGAACCCAGGGGGAAGGGCCAGGTGGTGGGAGCAAGGGGGTATCTGGCAGACAGCTGGCTTTTGCACAGCTTACAGGAACCGCCTGCCCCCCAGGGCCAAGCATTGTACTGTGGTTCCCCATGGTCCCACCTCATCTATCTAGTTGACAGGATGGTGGCAAATCCCAGGGGCTGAGTTTGACAATTAAAGAGACGGTGGGGGGAAGGGTGGGTGGTGACCAAGTGAGCAGGTTTCGTGGGGCTGAAGGGTTTCCTGGCACCTCAGATTTTTGGTGCTTAAATATGGGACAATCCCAGGCACACCAGGACTGTCACCCTTCCATGTGTGACCCTTAACTTCCATCCCACTGTCTCGTTAGTTTTTTTTTTTTTTTTTTTTCCACTGGACCCAGCTCTGCTTAGTTTAGTCACAGAGGGAATTTGTGGGGCGAAATGTAGGGCTTCCCTTCAGGGTCTGGGAGCCTGCGTTTCTATTCCTTGTGTCCCCAGAATCTCCAACACAGACATTCACGGCCAGCTGTCTGTCTTCGTTTGTCTTGTTCATGGGTGATAAAAATGGCCTTCTCCAAATTCTGGGGACCCTTGTCTTCCCTCAGCAGCTGCATGGTTTCTGGGGCTACACATAAGCACTCCCAGGTACTGACACACTCAGATACTGACCAATTAGAATGCCTCAGAGAAGCAGATTCCAAGAGATCATGGTGTCCCAGCAACCATCCATGGGGCCAGCCTGCTGGTTTTGTGCCCCCTGTGCAGTTGCATAGCAGGTCTTCCTTACAAGCCCTGAGCTACACCCTTGGTTTACTGTTCTTCTGTTACCATTTCAAAATTCTTACACTTTTGGAGCAAAGGCCCCTGAGTTTACATTTTGCACTGTATATCCGTGCCCTCTTTAGATAGTCTTGGTCTTGTATATACTCTTCAGTTGCTGTATTGTGTGGTAGCTGGAACTCTGGGGGGACCTCAGATAGGAAGAGGGAGCCTGGCTAGTATGAACAGATTTGGCTGCTGGCTGAATGTTGGTGTTGCCCATCTGCATTTGCAGCCCCCGCGCCCTCCCCCCCCCCCCCCCCCCCCCCCCCCCCCGTTCTGGGGATTGAATCCAGGAGCACTTTACTGCTGAACTACATCCTCAGTCCCCTCTGCCCTTTTATTTTGTCAGGGTCTTGCTAAATTGCTGAGGCTGGCCTCAAACTTGCAATCCTTCTGCCTTGGCCTCCTGAATTGCTGGGATCACAGGCATGCACCACCATAGCCAGTTTTTAGCATTCTTATATGTTCTTCAGCATCAATCTAAATTGCACCATCTCTGAGCGTGCCTGAGGTTGGAATCCCTCACTACTATGCCCTCCACCCCGAAGAAAAGGGTCTGTGGACTGTGTCTTTCTTTTTTTCCCACTGGTCCCTGTGGGAAAGTAGTTAAATGGGCTCTGAGGGTACTCTCCTCCTTTCCTCCCTCTCCCATTTTTTCTTTTTAAACTAGATGTGGGGCAGGGGGAAGTCACAGCCTCTTGCTCTGGATTGAAAGACTGTCTCCCCAGAGTAGGACCTCCAGGATTTTATTCTATCTTTTTTTAAAAGTGCTTTTTTGGGGGGGCTGGGGCCGTAGCTCAGTGGCAGAGCGCTTACCTTGGACCTGGGAGGCACTAGGTTCAATCCTCGGTAATAAAATAAAGGCATGCTGTCCATCTACAACTACAAAAAAAATTTTAAAAATACATTTTTACATTGTAGACGGACGCAATACCTTTATTTTATTTGTGTTTATATATATATAATATATATATTATATATTTTATATATAGAGAGAGAGAGAGAGAAAGAGCGAGAGAGAGAGAACGAGAGAGCGCACTTGTGCCAGGGATTGTACCCAGTGCCTCATGCATGCTAGGCAAGCACTCTACCACTAAGCCACAACTCTAGCCCCTTATTTTATATTTTATACTGGGGATTGACTTCAAGAGTATTTTAGTACTGAGCTACATCCCCCATCCTTTTTATTTTTTAATGTGCTGAGGGTATCATTAAGTTGCTGAGGCTGGCCTTGAACTTGGGATTCTCCTGCCTCAGTCTCCCAAATAACTAGGATCACAGGTGTGTCTTCGAATGAATAATCTTTATGTTAATTCACTTTAAAAATTGATACCTTTATCCAAATAAGTAGACTTTACACACCCTTACCATAAGTAGAAAACTGGAACCAGGTACTCTAGGGTGAAGAGAACTAAAAATAAAAGTACCCAAAATGGGGCTGGGGTGGTGGCTCAGTGGTAGAGTGCTCGCCTAGCATGCATGAGGCACTGAGTTCAATCCTTGGTACCACATTTAAAAAAAAAACAAACAACTAAAGATACATAAATAAATATTTTTTAAAAGTACCCAAAATAACCAATTTAAATCTTAGCTAGGTTTTGTGGCTTACAGATGGCTGAGTTCCAAGGTCTCTGCTAAAATGAAAGATAAGCAAAAACTAAAACAAGTGTTAATGCCATGTTAGCCCCATATTGACACTTTCTCCTTGGCTTACTCAGAAACATAACAAACCACAGACTCTAATAACTTTCCATTTCACATGCCAGTCAAGTCCTCTACCACTGAGCTACGCCCCTAGCACAAGTAATAACTTTCTTATGATGTCACTGGTGTTATTTACTGCTTCATTAGTGCCACATAAAGTCCACCTCCCATCCACACTTCCGGAACTTAGGTCTACTCTGGGGAAGGTTGAAAGTTGTAAAACAATAGCTATTGATAGGAAAAGAAAGGCTTGCAAGCCTGTCCAGGCTGTTTTGATCCTAAATAATAATGAGGACCACAGAAGAAGGTGGAGGGGGCGGTGTCCAGGCCGCTGGGGTTAGCTGGAGCCCCAGTCCACCTACGCTCACCTGCATTCACCTGCGGTCCCTGCAGCCCCCCGCCGCCTCACCTTCAGCTTGCAACTTTAGTCCCCGCAGGTAGTGGAGCTGCAGGGGTCGCTATGGCAACGAGACGCTCGCAACAAAACAATCAGTTTCCCCCCTTCCTGCTGAGACCCGGTAGCGGGAAATTTTGAAGGGCAAACCAACCCGCGCTGGTTCTTAGTCTCATGGGGGCGGGGGAGGGGGTGCGGTCTGCACTGCTTCAAGCGTCTGTGGGAAGCTCTGGGACCCCCAGCCCTGGACAGTGCATTTGTATTTTTCCCCCATACTCTCACCCGACAGTATGGGGGGAAAAGTCCTTACGGTGACCTTCAAGACCCCGGGTGACCTGCCCAGCCCCTCCCCTGCCCTCTTGGCCAATTTGCTCTGCTCCTTGCACCCAGTCTCTGCCCCAACCACACACTTGCTTCCTGACTGTTCTTGGAAAGTGCTGGGCACGTTCCGGCCTCAGGGTCTTTACCTCTTCTTTGCCCACTGCCAGGACATCTCTTCCTCTAGAGAGCAGCATGGATCGCTCCTTCCTTTCCTTCAGGGTTGTATTCAAACGTCACCCCCTCACTGAGAAGTTCCTGGAACAAGCACCCTGTTTAAAATTGGAATCTCCACATGTACTTGTCAAAGCTCATTCCTGTTTTGTGTTCTGTTAGCGCTTGGCGCAGGCGCCTCCACACATTACTGTTTATCTCTGAAGTCTAAGATTTTTTTCTTCCCACTTTTGTTTTCAATGAAAAATTTCAAACACAGAAAAACATAACTACAATGAACACCTGCTACAACATCTGCCTATATTCAACAATTACTGGCTTTTACCTTTTTATTTTTCCTCCCAAGGCATTGAATCTAGGGACTGTAACCACTGAGCTATACCCAGCCTATTTATTTATTTATTTAGTTGCTGGTGATTGAACCCAAGGGCCTTAACCACTGAGCCACATCCCCAGCCCTTTTTTTGTATTTTATTTAGAGACAGGGTCTCACTGAGTTGCTTAGGGCCTCACTAAGTTGCTGAGGCTGACTTTGAACTCTTGATCCTCCTGCCTCAGCCTCCAAAGCTGTTGGGCTCCCAGTTCTTTTAAGTTTTGAGACAGAGTCTTGCTAAGTTGCTGTAATATCAAATAGCTGGTATTACAGGTGTGTGCCACCATAACCGACATTTTGCCATACTTGAAAGCAGAGAGTTTTTTGTTTTTTTTTTCCCCCCACGGCTGTCTCCATAGAATCCAGAAGACTGACAGGAGCATAGTAGTTGCTCAATAATTATTGTTAAATGAATGAATGATGTGCACTTAGGAACTCCTGCTTTGGGAGTCTGTGGTCCTCAGGTAAAGTCCCTTGCCAGAGACAAGCCAGACTCTCCAACATGGTTGCAGAAATATAAATAGGATCCTGCCCAGGAATATCCAGCTTGTTGGATCTGCTGCTGGGATCTGAGAGGCTGTGCCTTCCTGGAGGACCAGCTTTTTCTAATTTGCACAAAACTGTGGTATGGACCTGACATAGCCCTGAGAGGAACTGTGCAGGTGACCTGAAACTGGGTTTCCCGGAGATGGAGATACCCCCCGCTGCACCAAATCACCTCTATCCTGCTACAAAAAGAGTTCTGTGCTGTTCCATCCTGTGCTCCCGACTTTTCACACAATCTTGGCTCATAGCAGGCACTTAGGATGTCCCTGGTAAATAGGAAAATGATTAAGGGGGCTGGTCC